GGGGGGGAGAGACACGCCGAGGTTGGGTATTTTTCGAGTGAGGGGGAGGAGCGGGGAGGAGTGAAGGTGGGAGTGGCATTCTCAGATTTGGACGCTGCTGAGGGCCGAGGTTGGTCTCAGGTGGAGGGTTAATAGAAGAAATCTGGTGAGGTTGAACTCGAGTGCCTTGTAGAGGCAGGATGCCGGGGCTTGAGGTGTTCCACACCTATGGGGAATGAGGTGATTCGGGGTGGAGAAGTCGGCGAAGCCCAGTGAAGGGCGTTGTGGGGAAGGACCAGCTCACGGGGTCCGGTGATTCACGCTTCCCTGTACAGTCGGAACGCGTGTGACCCCAGCCAGCTTGTGGGTTCTGCTGTTCCTCACATCGGGGTGATCGAGTTTCCAGGCTTTCAACTGGGACGCATAGTGTAGCTTAAATAATAGATGCAAATCAAGGGTAGTGCCTGGGACACCTGAGAACTGTGACTGGACGGCGTGCTTCTCCTAATTTACCTGGAGCCTTGGCAGCGCCAGCGTTGGTGGGCGCTGTCTTCTGTAAAACCCTATTCCAGCAACCCAGACCATGTATGGAGGTCCCACCCTTATTGAGTTCAGAGTTGAGGTTTATTCGGGCTAAAAAACATCACAAATATTTAAAATATTTTAAATCTTGTGGAGTTTTAATGTTTAAAAATCGAATCCTGCGGGTTTTTAAAAAAAAATTTAGATCTTTCTTTTGTGACTACTTTTCAATTTAAAGTTACACGGAGCTAGAGAACTAGATGTTTTCTAACAGCGCATTCTGTATCACAGACCATTGTAAATTAACTGTGGAAAGTAGATTGTATCTGTTGTGACCAGCTATCTAAATTGTAGAACTGGAAATGAAGAATAAAATTGAAAAGATCTAAAATACTGGAAAGGGAAAGAAAAGTCCTGGTAAATTGGAAAGCATGTGCACTTAGAAAAACAAACCAACAAGCTCAGTGAAAGTTTTCTTCATTGTAAGAAAACTCAGAAGATAGAGAAAAGTATAAGGGATGAATATTAAAACTCCATGTTATTTCACCAACCCTGACATTTTGGTGCAATTCTTTTTGTTTTTTGCATAACTAAATGCTGTGGTGGTTTCGTCACTAAGTCATGTCCGACTTTTGTGACCCCATGGACTGTAGCCCGCCAGGCTCCTCTGTCTTTGGGATTTTCCAGGCAAGAATACTGGAGTGGGTTACCATTTCCTCCTCCAGGGGACACAGATCTTATGTAGGAAGAACCAGGAACACCCTGAAAAGGGAGAAACTGAGGACCTAGCCGATGGGCTTCTCTGGTAGCTCATTTGATAAAGAATCTGCCTGCAATGCAGGAGACCCCGGTTTGATTCCTGGGTTGGGAATATCTGCTGGAGAAGGGATAGACTACTCACTCCAGTATTCTTGGGCTTCCCTGGTAGCTCAGCTGGTAAAGAATCTGCCCGCAATGCAGGATACTCCTGTTTGATCCCTGGGTTGGGAAGATCCCCTGGGGAAGGGAAAGGCCGCTCCAGTATTCTGGCCTGGAGAATTGCATGGACTGTATAGTCTGTGGAGTCGCAGAGTCGGTCACAATCGAGTGACTCTCACCTTCACTTTTCACTTCTCAGCAGACACGACAGCACCCCAAGGTCCCTGCAACCAGTCAGGGCCCTGGGGTGCTGGGGTGGGCACGGGCCAGGGAGACGGGCGAGCCGGGAAGGTCATCTGACAGAGGCGGGCCACAGGTCACGGGCAAAGACAGACCTTCAGTGACGGTGTTGGGAGAGCCAGGCAGTCCCTTCAGAAAGCAGACTCATGTCTGTCAGGTCGTGAGTGGTCCCTGGAGCCACTGCTCCATTGAGCGCAGGGGCCGTCTTCCAGGCCAACGGGGACACGTGGCATCTTTCAAGGTCCTCTCTGGCTTTCTCATCCCCCNTGGCCTCCGTGAGGTTTCTTATTTTTACCACCTTACACTTGGTATCTACTCTGTTGGGCCCACCCCTGTGGTTTGGAGCAGACCTGGATTGTACTGGCCAGCGAACCACAAGAGTGATGTTGCATGCAGAGCCCAGAGAGGGGCAGGACTGCCGGAGCAGAGAGCATCCCCAGGCGTGATACTGTGCAGTGATGGAAATTCCCTGAGCAGAGGGCCTGGAAAGGAGGGCACAGGGCTTCAGGGACAGGACTATGGTCATTTAAGAGAGGACTATGGTCATTTAAGAGAGGTTCCTGTCTCTTAGGTCACCCAGCCTGTAAGTATGCTGTGGCCCAGTGGATGGCACATGTGTGAAGCGTCTGAAAACAAGCGGTGTTGAAACCTCTGAGAGCATCCGGAGCCTTGAAGGGGTCAAAGCTTACCAAGCTCCACTGAACTGCTCAGAGCAGAACCTAAGCAACACTGGCACTTCTGTTAGTCTGTGAGTCTCTCAATGATCGAAAGCCCGTGGCTGGCTCCACAGCTGTGGTAAGGCCACTGCTGTGGTGAGACTATAAACCAACATTATTGGCTAAGTCCATAAAAAGGGGGATACAAGGTTCTTTGCATACGGCATGGTGTCATTGAAAGAGTGCTGGATTTCAGTCCTCTTTCTGCCACAGTGGTTGTGTAACTTCAGGGTTTATTAATGTGAAACAGTGTGTGGTCTTGGGACTAATTGATCCCTAAGGCTCCTTTTGCTGTAAAAATTCTGTCCTAGTCCAGCTTCTGCAGTGGTTTTGCCAGTCTCTTGAATAAGTAACAAGTTCTTTCAGTTTATATGCTTTTACCCAAAACTAAACAAAAGAATCTTTTGAAGCTAGGCAATTTCTTGTGTTCAAAGTTAATATGTTTTTAATCTTAGGAGTAAAGCAAAATATTATGTCATTTTTGAAGTATCTTTTGGTCTTTACTACAGTGTATATTTTACACCTATTATTGAAAAGTTGAGTATTCTATTTTATAAACATAGAAGATATTTGTTTCTAATCATAAGAAATACCTGCTCACTAAAATTCAAATTAGAAAAATGTAAAGAAAATAAAAATCATCATGAATCCTACTGCCTGGACATGGCCAAGGAAAAATATATCTGCCTAATCATTGATGGAATTTTCATTAAATGCACATACCCACATGTGACTAACACAAGTGTGTATAATACACAAGTCATGTGATGAGTAGGTATGTATACATACTTGTGGTTAAGGTTGTGAGCTCTGGCATCTGGCTGTCTGGTTTTGAAGCCCAGTTCCCCTCTTTGCAACTGTGATGTGGACTGTTTACTTCTTTCACCTCAGTTTTCTCATCTGTAAAGTGAAAACATTAAAGCTCGTTCTTCACGAGGTTGGTGTGAGACTCTCGTGTGCTTAGTCACTCTGTCATGTCCGACTCTTTGTGACCCCATGGACTGTAGCTCACCAGGCTCCTCTGTCCATGGGAATTCTTCAGGCAAGAATACCAGAGTGGGTTGCCATGCCCTCCTCCAGGGGATCTTCCCAACCCACAGATCGAACCCAGGTCTCCTGCATTGCAGGCAGATTCTTTACTGACTGAGCCAAAAAATGTGTAGCCCTGGGTAAATCCCTGGTGATCCAGTGTTTAGGACTTTGAACTTCTACTGTAGGGGCCATGGGTTCATCCCTTGTCAGGAAGTTTAGGTTCCTGCACGCAGAGCAGCACAGCCAAAAAAGAAAATTAAAAAGAGAAACGTAGCCCAAGGCTTTGAATGCAGTAGCTAGTGTTATCATTTTATAATTCCTGAATATTCATTAGAAGGACTGATACTGAAGCGCCAATACTTTGGCCACCTGATGTGAAGGAGCCAACTCTTTGGAAAAGACCCTGATGTTGGGAAAGATTGAAGGCAAGAGGAGAAGGGGGCCACAGGGGAAGAGCTGGTTGGATGGCATCATTGACTCAGTGGGCATGAAACTGAGCAAACTCCTGGAGATAGCGAAAGACAGGGAAGCCTGGAGTGCTGCAGTCAGTGGGATGTGAGTTGGACATGACTGAACAACTGAACAACAACATAAATTCCTAGAACTGGCAATGTTCTCTCGAATGGTGTATTTAATACCATTTTCCAGATTGCTACTGTTCTTTATGGGAAGGTGGCATCAAGTTACAACATCTGACAGCAATATGTGAAAATGCCAAGTTTTCTGCTCTTGTGCCAGACCTGGGTTCTGTCCACCTTTCAACAAATTTGAAAAGGGAAAACATCTCATTGCTATTTTGCATTCTTAGTAACTTTGAACATCTTTTCAAGTGTGTTGTCCACTTTATTTCTTCTTTGTGACTTGTCATTTTTTTTTCTGTTGTTGATTTGTAAGAATGGTTTGTATATCAGAGATTGTGACATTTTGTCTGGAATGTATGGGACATCTTTTTAAGGTTAAGGTCATGCTTCGAGTCTGAAAGGAGCAAGTATTTACTGTGAATTTCTAGATAAAGCTCATATTCAAGTTGAAAACTGAAACCTGCCTTTAGTTTCTCAGAAGGATTGTCTTATGACCTGTTGATTGTGAATAATTCTCACTCACTTTGGTGGTAGTTTAGTCACTGTGTCTAACTCTTGCGACCCCATGCGCTGTAGCCCACCAGGCCCCTCTGTCCATGGGATTCTCCAGGCGAGAGTACTAGAGTGGGTTGCCATTTCTTTCACTTACATTAGGCAGTGCATAAAGGCTAAAAAGCTTTGACCTTTGATTCCTGTGTATATATGCCCTGTTGAACCCTTTATTGTCACCTTAACCTCACCACTCCTTCCTTCCTTTGCTGTTTGCTCACACACAGCCATTCTTCTCATGTCCCTGGTTAGCAACCTTGGAGCCATCTGTGTATCTTTTCCAAGTTGAAGGCGTTCTAGTTCTCAGGCTTCCTTCCCATAAAGTCATTTTCCCTCCTCAGTCTGCCTCTACCCCTCTGGTTATTGCTATTATATTGGGTTGGCCAGTAAGTTCTTTCACGTTTTCCATAAGCTGCAACAGAAAAACCTGGATGAACTTTTTGGTCAACCCAACACTGAGCCTGTGTGTTAGAATGATTTGATGTATCCTCGCTTCTCAAAAGTAAGATGTTGACCTTATTTACTTTTGTATCTTCAGACTCCATCATGACCTGGCCCATAGTAACCCCATGATTCATGTTTGTTGTATTTGATATTTCCTTGTAAAACATGATGATGGTAAGCCTCTACAGTCTATTGGTAGATTAACCTTTTTTGTTAATCTACATTGGTAGATTAAACTTTTTTGTTACAAGAAATGTCAGAGGTTCAAAGGAATTGAAGGAATACCAGGACAAAAGCCCCCTAAATGTACCTGTTGGGATTTATATCACTCTGGCACATAGTTAGTCCTCTGCTCAGAAACCTCCAGTGACTTCTTACTGACTGTCGAGTCAGATGTAAAAGGCAGCAGACTTTCTCATGTGGTTGCAGCTTACAAACATGTTATCACCCTGCTCTGGTCAGGACTTTACCCTCGCTTCATTGACTTTCCGCATGTTGTTCCCTGCATAGAACATGCTTCCCTTTTTGCTGGACCATTAACTTTTGTGTATGAGGTATTCTGAGTTCCCATAGCTCTAATTGCTAACTCTTGTCATTCTATATAATTCCTGACCACATTATTAGCTATTTGTTGAAGGTGAGAACTCATTCCTATTTTGACCTGGCAGCCTAGCATGCTGACTCTTATTTGGCTGATACCTGGAAATAGCATTCCTTGTGTATTTGTAGTATAATTTGCATCCAGCATTAATTTATAATACCTGTGTTGCCCCAAACAGAAGTTATGCTCTGTTAGTGAAAAACAAAAGCTTATGAGTCCAGGCCAGTCTCGGTCTGTTTGATCAGCTTGCTGCAAGACCGTGAGTTCCCCCAAAGAAAGGAAAGATGCCCTGGGTTGTTGGTCACCCCTTCTATGATTGTACCCAGTAATCGATTTGCACTTGTGCTTTGGAGTCATTAAAACTTCCATTAAGTACAAAGTTAGAATAAAGGAGTCTAAAGCCTGAAAATTGCCCCAGTGAGAGTCACTGAGTTAGAGAGGTTGACATGAGAAACACTTTAGAGGGAGGTCATTAGGCCTTAGTGACTGCTGCCATCAGTGGGTCTCCAGATTGACTGTGAGTTTTCAGGCTTGGTGACAGATAAAGATGACACCTCTGGGAAAGATAGGGACACTGGGAGGGGCAGCTGATGCTGGGGACGTAGACTGCATACCACAGCGTGAAACTGGACACATCAGTTCTCTGCTCAGGATGGACTGCTGACTTCTGTTGTATGTTGACAAGGTGCAGTTGCTTTGTAATAGTCAGGAGCCCTCATCAGATACCAGTCCATTCCCATCCTCCCTCCCCTAGAACAGTTCATGCTCCAGCCATAACTAATCACTTCTATTTCTCTGAGTCTCTTGGCTGTTTTTCTCATTATTTTGTAGGGGGCACTCTATTTCGTCTACCTGGAATGCCATCCATTGTCCATCTGGCAAACTCTCGTTCATCTTTCTAAGTCTTGTTCAGGTCAGTCACACCCTCTATAAATACTTTCTCAGTCCTTTTGTGAGAGTACCTTTTACACTGTTATCCCATCACTTACCTGAATGTCCCCTCCACCATATTCTGATCTGCCTACAGACAAAGGTGTTGTTCCCTTGTTTTTGTACAGGGCCTGGCCCCCACAGGTGCTGTGAACCATTGGGTGAGCCTGACATGTAACCCATCTAGATCATGAGAAAATTTCTTTTGTCTAAGAAGCCAGACTTGTGGTGAATTGTGGTTAATTTTCACTAAGAGAAAATACAGATATAGTCTATATTTGTTTTTTTCCATGAGAACCTATGTTTACTTCTTATTTTCAGCAAGTTTGTCAAAGATGAAAGTGACCTTATCAGCTCTGGATATTCATGAGAGTTCTTTCACGCCTTTGGTCATCATAGAACTTGCTCAGGATGTCAAGGAAGAAACCAAAGAATGGCTGAAAAACAGAATCATCACTAAAAAGAAAGATGGAGGTGAGTAAAATAAATATTACTCCAATTTAGTCGTGCCTACTTGAATAAAACTGTATTGACAAATGTGTTTCACAGTTTTCTGGTTGATCTGTTTTTAAAATTCAAGTTCAGTTCTTTGCTCTTTGTTCTATACCTAGGACTTGAAAGGAGGTCTTAAATCAACGTTAGATTGTAAGTCTCTCTTAGATCGTAAACGACCTGAGTGATTTTGTTCACAGGTGTAAACTCTGCACCTGTGTACAGTACCTGGTGCATAGTAGTTACTTAATAAATACTTGTCAAATGTATGAATATCTTTGAGGATTCTTTGTGTGTTGGTTGTGGTGCTAAGAGGGACAGAAACATGTCTCTGCCAGCAAAGATGTTACTGTCAGGGTAAGGAGACTGAATGCTAGATCCAGGAAGTCAAAGGAATAGGGAAAAAGCTAGTGAAAAAGCTGTTAGAAAACAGCACATGATACTTAAAAATGAGTCTCGTATGTGTACTTGCTATGAAAGTAAAGGGAAGGAAGAAGTGACGCTTGGTGATGCTTTTCAGGGTGGTAAGGGATGACTTCATGGAAGAAGCCAAAGTTTAACTCTCTGCTCTCTGGCAAAAAGGGAGCTGGACCTGGGTGAGAGATGGAGGGGATTTTACATAAGCAGACACTTTGTTGTTGTTGTTCAGTCGCCAAGTTGTGTCCGACTCTCGGCGACCCCATGAACTGCAGCATGCCAGGCTTCCCTGTCCTTCACTATCTCCCTGAGTCTGCTCAAACTCGTGCCCATCAAGTCAGTAATGACATCCAATCATCTCATCCTCTGTCGTCCCCTTCTCTTCTTGCCCTCAATCTTTCCTAGCATCAAGGTCTTTTCCAGTGAATCGCCTCTTCACATCAGGTGGCCAAAGTTTCGGAGCTTCAGCCTTAGCATCAGTCCTTCATCAGACGGTTCATAAAACTACACAAAACGCCCCCTAAAAATGTCTAGGAGGTATATACCTCTGAATAAAAGGAGTTACAGAAAGAAAGCGGAGAAAAAGGAGAGGAAGAAATCATCAAAGAAAAACTCAAGACTGGTGTATGCTTTTTCAGATTGAATGGGCCCGTGCAACGCCCAGACTGGCTGAAACTGGCATATATGATTGGAATGTTTCAGAATCCTAGGGATTCTGGAACTACAAAGTTCCAAAAAAGAAAATAGGTCAGAAACACTGGAAGCTAGAAGGCAGTGAAGTAATATCTTCATTTCTGATGGAAAATGGTTTCGGTCTAGTATTCTGAACTCACCTAGCTGCCAACAAGGCGTGCTGCTGCTGCTGCTAAGTCACTTCAGTCGTGTCCGACTCTGTGTGACCCCGTAGACGGCAGCCCACCAGGCTCCCCCGTCCCCAGGATTCTCCAGGCAAGAACACTGGAGTGGGTTGCCATTTCCTTCTCCAATGCGTGAATGTGAAGTGGCTCAGTCGTGTCTGACTCTTAGCGACCCCATGGACTGCAGCCTACCAGGCTCCTCCATCCATGGGATTTTCCAGGCAAGAGTACTGGAGTGGGGTGCCCTTGCCTTCTCTGAACAAGGTGTGAGGGTAGAATAAAGAAAGATAAGATCTCTAAAAAGATGGTGTTGTCAGACTGTTTCTCTTCCCTCTACTGAGGGAAGACTTAAACAGTTAGCTTGGGGGATTGAATTATCTATAAGTATATAATAAGCTAAGCACATTATGAAACAAGATAGATACCAACTTTTGGGAAATGATAAGTTGTAGGAAAGGAAAATCATAGCATATTGTAAGGCTCAACTATAATGTACGTAGCCATAATAATAAAAGTACTGTTGATGGAGTGAAAAGGATGATATAATGATATTGTGAGAATGGTGTTTTGGAAATGGTGGGTGGAAATGAGGGAGGGGGGTTGGAAAGTTTAATCCTCATTTGTCAAAGTTAAAAAAAAAATAGCTCTAAAAGAATGTTGTCTGGTGACGTGAAAACAAATCCTAAAGGAATCACATGAACAAGTTGAAAGTCATTGCTTCAGGGGTGGGGGCTTGCGATGAGAGAGTGCTCTTTTTCAGAACAAGATTCTCACTAATGGTTCTCCATGAAGGTTGCAGCAGTTTCTGTTCCCCTAGCCATGTCTAAGAGTACCTTCCCTACATGCTGTGTCATTTGGGTCTTCCACACAAGAGATGCCAGGTGGTATTTAATGCACAGGAGGTTTGTAGAGGGATCATCTATAGAAAGATAAAGTAGGAAGGAGCAGGCTTAGACACTGATAGCCTTCTGACTTTGGTGCGTGCCTGAAGCTTGTGAAAGGAGAGAGAGAAGGAAGGAGAATTGCATAGGAAAAGCCTCAGACTACAGCATGGTTTTGAGAACATGTTAGCCAGGCTCAGCATTGCACAGTGGCTTCATTCCACTGTCCCCTAGGGTTCAGCCCATGGCCTAGGTGTTGGGGTGCTGCAGCCAAAGGGGGACAAGCAGACGGCTGTCAGCTCTGCTTCTCACAGCAAATCCTTTGGAGGGGAGATCTGGGTAGAGTGGAGCACTTTCGTGGCTAACACACCCACCATCTATTTTTTCAATCTAACTTGATTTTTGTAGTGTGAGAAGTGAAAACATGTTGGTGGTGTTTTGCATTTATCTTAATATGGATGACATTAAGGATTTTCTATTTAAGAGCCATTTATGTTTTCTTTAAATTGAACATATCTTTTATTTATTTTTTAATTAAAGCCTTTAACACCTCTGTTGTAAAGTACGTAAATAATAATGCCATGGCAAGTTAACCTTATTAACCCCCTGGATAAGTAAAATATAAATTCTGCTCATTATCCTGTTCCATCTGATTGGTATTTTTATAACTCCTGTCAACACTTTATAGAGGATAAATAGTAAAGATATAAATGCACCTTAAAAAGCCTGATGTAGATAGAAATTAGGAAAAATTCCTTTTTCTACAATCTTTGAAGTGAAATAATATACAGTATCAAATAACAATATCTATTTATCTTTAAACCTAATTGACTGTATTAATATTTATGGGAAAAATCATTGAAAAGTTATTTCACTGTTTATTATTCATTATTTAACATTCACATAGTCTGTTGTAGTCTTATATAATTGTGTTACATTTGTTGCATTTTTATTGGGATATTTTATTTCAAATTAATTTTCTTAAATTTTTGTATTTTTTATATTATACTATATCCTTTTGCTTCATATTTTTACTTAGTGCAGTTTTATATTTAGAGCTAACAAATATTTGATTCTTGTCTAATAGCTACTTCTAATTTGAGTAACCGACAAGCCACTTATTACATTTTCCAGTTTTGGCACTTATTTCAAAAAGCTATAAAGAACTGCCTTCCCCAACTTACTTTTATTTATTATTTATTTGGGAGATGGATTTAAATTGTTAAAATAATTTATTTGCCTTCTGCCAAACTAGAAACAGAATATTTGAAACTTTTATGTTTTATCACTTTCCAAGATTGTGCTCATCTTTTGTTTCCAAAGGTGCTCAGCTGTTGTTTAGACCATTGTTAAATAAATATGAGAAAGAAACACTGGAAAATCAGAACTTGTATCTTGTCGGTGCCTCCAAGATTCGATTGTTGCTGGGGGCAGAAGCAGTGGGATTGGTAAAAGAGTGCAATGATAACACCATGAGAGCCTTTACGTATGGAACCCGACACAACTTCAAAGATTTTGATGGTAAGTTCCAAGATTGTTTCTGTCAGAATCAATTTATCAAAAGGAAGTCTTTGATGAGCAGATGAGGGGTCAGCAAAGTTTTTCAGTAAAGGGTCTGATAGTAAATATTTAGGCTGTGTGGACACTATGATCTGTCATAGTTATTCTTATTCAGCACAACGATTGTCAAGCAAAAGCAGCCTGCAGCCATGAGAAGCGAATGAATGAGGCTATGTACTAACAAAATTTTATTTATCAAACCAGGTAAGATCAGACTTGGGGTTGCAGATTTACTTTGTAGCCTCTGGAATGCTGCTAAGTTGCTTCAGTCGTGTCCGGCTACCAGGCTCCATCGTCTCTGGGGTTCTCCAGGCAAGAACACTGGAGTGGGTTGCCATCCGACCTCTGGAATAGATGAACATAAACTAAGATGACATATGTCACTTATCTATATAATTTTAGGTCTTAGAATGGTGATGTTCATTAGATTGATATAAGTAAGAAGCACAGTAGTATTTCATATCCTGTAATTCCCTATCCTGCTTCTGTTCTGGCCTCAAAGGGGGTTTCAGAAGAGAGTGATTTCTGGAAAGAACTGCGAAATCCAGGATGGCTGTGATAGCAGAGTAGGAGGTTGCTTTCAGAACCAAACTAGCTGGTCCCTTCCAAGGCCTTTCAAAGTTAGAAGATACGATTGGACTTCTTCAGACTCAGTCATTCTGGATTTTTATATATTAGTAAATAAACAATTGAGGTGAAATTCACCACATTTGAGGGGATTCACCTGTCAAAAAATGACACTATTTCCTTATCAGACTTTCTTCTCCTTCATTTATGTGAGGGATGTGGATTCCACAAGGAAATTGGCCTGGGCTTGAGAGTTTGGAAGAGAATTTGCCATGTAGGCAAACTTCAGATCCATTCCTAATTAAAAATACTGTTAAAATTAAAGAATATATTACTTTCTGTTCATTTCAGTTAAATGAGGGCAAGCAAGTGTCTACCATTTGGTTGTTTGAACCATATAATATAATCATTAGCGTAATGATTGAAGAACTATATTATGTGAAGGCATCACAGAATATTCTTATAAAATATCCTTTTCTATTTACTTTTTATTATTTGGGTTACTCTTTATGGCAACTGTTTATTGTCTATACCATTATTTCATAATCCCAGGTTATTTGAATATTTTAGATTTTATTGGCTAATATTGAGAAAATAACTATGAATTTTTGTTTTGTTTTAGATGATAATGATGATTTCCTCAGCATGGCAGAACGTCAATTCATTATCAAACATGAACTTGAAAATCTTCGAGCCAGAGATGAAAAAATGATCCCTGGTTACCCCCAGGCAAAATTGTACCCAGGAAAATCACTATGTAAGTCATTGTATCAACTAATTTCATGAATATACATTCTAATGCAATTATATTTTGCTTAGTATACACAAATAACAAATTATAATGACTTTTTCCACCCTTACTGAAAAACTTACACAACTTTACAATAATTTTATTTTTTCACCGTTATATATTTTGCCTTTAGACCTTCATGATTTTGTAGCTTTAGATCAACTTATTTGTTCTTTATGGTTCTCAACTTCTTCTTTATCAAGGTTCACAGCATTCAGTAAGCTTAAAATTCAGTGTGAGTGCATTTGCATATTAGTTAAAATTAGCCAAGTTTACCGTATGCCCAGACATTATAGTGTAATGAAAATCTGTGGAGGAATAAAAACTAGGCACATGGTCTTTTCCTGGAGCCTTCTTCCCATCTCCTCTCATCTCACTGGGTATGAACAGATACAAACATAGAAAGACTTAAGAAGAGTCACAGTGGGACATCATACCTGAATGCAAATTAGCAGTTTGTAACTTTCTGATTGTGTGTAATTCCATTTGAATGAAAATACCAGTTGGTAGACTGAAAGTATTTACGACATGTAATTCCAAATTTTCCTGAAACCCAGATAATATCAAGGCCTAGAACATTTTTGCTGCCTGAGAAATTCTTTAAGCATACCAGGTTTTGTGTCCCCAGCCCGATGTCCTCGTAATGGTCAGTGTCGTCCAGGAGGACAAATGCCCGAGTCAGTCGTATTCGGATTTTCTCACTTGCACCAAATAGTTGTTTAAACCAAGATCCAATCATAGATCACTCATTTTTTTGGTTGTTATTATATCTCTTAAGTTTCTCTCTCTTTTTAAAAAGTGTTGAAGTACATACAACATAAGATTTACCATTTTAAAAACTTTTAAATGTACAGTTCAGTGGTATTAAATACATTCATAATGTTTTACATCAAACCTTCAACACCATCCATCTCCATAGTTCTTTCTGTCTTGTGAAACTGAAACTCTGTATCTACTAAATAATCACTCTCCCACCTTGTCTTGCTCTAAGACCTGGCAACCACCACTTTACTTCTGTCTTTATGGTTTCAACTGTTCTATGTATCTCAAATGAGTGAAATCACACAGTGTTTCTCTTTTAGTGACTGGCATATTTCGCTTGGTGTAATATCGTCAAGGTTTATCTTTGTTGTAGCATATGTCAGAATTCCCTTGTATTTAACACTACACAGTGGTCCATTGTATGTATGTACCACATATTGTTTATTCATTCCTTCATCAGTGGCTGCTTAGGTTGCCTCCACTTTTTGGTTATAATGACCATGGGTATACACATATTTCTTTGAGATCCTGCTTTCAAGTCTTTTTGGTATATAACAAGAAATGGAATTCCTGAATCATATGGTAATTCTATTTTAAATTTTTTTGAAGTACTTCCATCCTGTTTTCCACAGGGATTGTATCATTGCAGATTCCCGCCAGCAGTGTACAGGATTGCAGTTTCTCCACTTTCTTGCCAACAGTTACTATGTTCTGATATTTTGATAGTAGCCATCCTAACAGGTGTGAGGTGCTATCTCATTGTAGTTTTTGACTTGCATTTACCTAGTGACTGTTGATACTGAATATATGTCTTCTTTGGAGAAATGTCTATGCATGTCCTTTGCCTATTTTTGAATCATGAGTTTTAGGCATTCTCTATGTATTCTGGATATTAATCCCTCACGAGATATGTGATATGCAAATGATGTTTTCTCCCATTCTGTGGGCTGCCATTGTTTACTTTGGTGATACTGTCTTTTGATGCACTAAATTTTAACATTTTCCTGTACCTTCGGTTCATACCTAAGCACTTATTGCCAAAGTCACTGTCCTGAAGCTTATTCTCTGTGTTTTATGTTAGGAACTTCATAGTTTCGGATTTTATGTTTAGCTTTTTAATCCATTTTGAGTTAATTTTTGTGTATGGTGCTAAGCAACTTTATTCTTTTGCATGTGGATATCCAGTTTTCCTAGCATAGTCAAAAACTATTCTTCACTCATTGAGTCACCCTGGTACTCATGTAAAAATCATTTGACCACATATGTGAGGGTTCATTTCTGAGCTCTCTACTGTATTCCTTTGCCTGTATAGTCTGTCTGTATGATAGTATGACACTGTTTTGATTATTTTGGCTTTGGGGTAAGTTTTGACATCAGGAAGTTTTGTTTTTCTTTTTTAAAATTGTTCTGGCTGTTTGAGTTTCCATGAAATTCAATATGCGTTTTAGGATGGGTGTTTCTAATTTTGTAGAAGACATCATTAGGATTTTGGTAGGAATTGCATTGAATCTGTAGATTACTTTGGATAGTATTGAGATTTTAACAAGATAAACTCCCATGAATATGGGATATGTCTCTATATATGTTTTAATTTCTTAGAGCATTGTTTTATAGTTTTTATTTGTATAAGTCTTTCATCTCCTTGTTGTGTGGTTGTGTGGCAGTAGCTCAGTCATGTCTGACTCTTTGTGACCCCATGGACTGTAGCCTTCCAGGCTCCTCCATCCATGGAATTCTCTAGGCAAGAATACTGGAGTGGGTTGCCATTCCCTTCTCCAGGGAATCTTCCTCACCCAGGGATTCAACCTGGGTCTCCCACACTGGAGACAGATTTTTTACCATCTTAGCCACCAGGGAAGCGCTTCACCTCCTTAGTTAATTACTAAGTATTTTATTCTTTGTGATGTTATTGAAAATAGAATTGTTTTTCATGATTACCTTTTCAGATAGTTCCTTGTTAGTGTATAGGATGAAACTGATTTTCAGGTGTTGACTTTGTGTCCTGCTCCTTTCCTGACTTCATTTATTGGCTTTGATAGTATTTTTGTGGAAATTTTAGGGTTTTCTACATATAAGATGATATCCATGAACAGAGACAGTTTTACTTCTAACTTTTCAGTGTTGATGTCTTTTATTTCTTTTACTTGCCTGTTTGCTCAGGCTAAAACTTCCAATAGCATGTTGAATAAAAGTGATGAAAGTGGTCATCTTTGTCTTATTTCTGGTTTTAGAGGAAAACTTTCATTCTTTCACCATTCAACATAATGTGGGTTTTTTTTTCTCCCCTTCATTCTGTTAATGTGATGTATTACATGGATTGATTTTAGTATATTGAACTATCCTTGAATTCTCAGGATAAATCCCACTTGTCATGGTATATAATCCTTTTAACATGTTGCTGAATTGACTTTGCTAGTATTTTGCTGAGGATTTTTGCGTCATTATTCATGGGGGATATTAGTCTATAGTTTTCTCTTCTTGTAGTGCTTTTGTCTGACTTTGTGTCAGTGTAATTCTGGCCTCATAGAGTGAGTCAGTAGTGTTCCTTCCTCTTAAATTTTTGGGGAAAATTGGAGAAGGATTGATATTAGTTTTCCTTTAAATAGTGGTAAAATTCACCAGTGAAGGTATCAAGTTCAGGTTTTTTCTTTGTCATGAGATTTTTTTAGTTATTCCTTTATAATTATAAATCTGTTCACATTTTCTCTTCCTTCCTGATTTAGTTTTGCTATGTTTTGTGTTTCTAGGAATTTGTCCATTTCATCTAGGCTAGCCAGTTTGTTGGGTACAGGTATTCATAGTATACTCTTACAATCTTTTTGATTTCTTTAGAATCAGTAGTAACATACCCATTTTCATCTCTGATTTGAGTAATTTATGTTGTCTGTTTTTCTTAGTTCATCTAGCTAAAGATTTGTCCATTTTGTTGATCTTTTCAAAGAACCAACTTTTTTTTTTTTAATTTTCTCTGTTATCGTTCTATCCTGTTTGATTTATCTCTGCTCCAATCTTTTTTATTTTCTTCCTTCTGCTAGTTTTGGGTCTAAATTGCTCTTCTTCTGATTCCCTAATAGTAAAGTTAGGTTGTTATTTGAGATCTTTCTTGTTTTTAAATATAAGCATTTATTGCTGTAAACTGCCTTGTTAGACTTGCTTTCTCTGTGTCCCATTTGTTTTGGTATATTGTGTTTGGTTTTCATTCATTTCTAGGTATTTCCTAATTTCCTCTGTAGTTTCTTCCTTGACCCACTGGCTATTTCAAAATGTGATGTTTACTTTACACACATTTGTGAATTCCTCAGTTTTCCTTCTGTTATTGATTTCCAACTTCATCCCGCTGTGGTCAGAGGATACTTTTTATAATCCATATCTTTTTAAATCTGTTGAGGCCTAACATATGGTCTGTCTTGGAAAATGTCCCGTGTACACTCGGAAACCAAGAGTGTGTTCATGCTTTACTGCCTGACTTCCATGTAAACTGCATCTTGTAGTTGCCTCTGTCTCTGAGTTAGTCGTGTGGTACAGATGCTTTTGCCTGCTCTCCTGGTTGACCTGTATGACTTCTGGGAGGTGTCTAGAAACGTGAATGTAGGTGCTTATCATTCCTCTTTGTCTGCATTTCCAGTTTTCTGTGTGTGTCTTGATATTAATTATCTCGTAGCAGTTTTTGTTGGACATATCATTTTTTGCTGTGCAGATTAAAGATTACCGTGATTTCAAAAACATTTTCTTCAGTTACCTTTGAAGAGTTATTTGGTTTTATTTTCTGTTCTTGTCTTTAAGAATGCCATTTGTGTGTGTGTGTGCGTGCGCATATGTATGTAATGTATATACTTTATATATATGCCATATATTCTCTGAAATATTTTAAAGCTTTTATGTAATTTTTTAGGCATGTCCACCATTTTCCAGCTTTGTTTGTTCAGTCTTTACTTTTTCAGTAGCTTTTACTGTAACTTTCTTTGTATTTGTAATAGTTTTATTTTTCTGATATTTTGCTTTTTCAAGCTCCCACCTTCAGCTCTCAGAGGTTTTCCTTCATTTTAATTCAGAGATGTGGCTTGCTTTAATTTCATGAACTCCTTGAAGAATTCCATAATTTTTCTTTGCTCTATGCTGGAACTTTTTCTGCTGTGTTTCTTCTCTGCCTTTTTAAAAAATGACTTTCCTTTTTTCTCTTAAGAGTATTCTTGCATAGTTTGATG